CGTAACGTTGCGTCGCTTCACTCACAGTGCCACATGATGGTGCTGGCGATCGAATATGAGGTGGGGATCGATAGTGAGGAGAAGAAAATGAAGAGAAGACATGGGTTTTTGGGAGGGAGAGGGAAATCGATTTGTATAGAAATAATAGGTTGATATAAGAATGTCAAACGGGTCGTATAGCTTGTTGGCTCAATCGCTCGACTAGTAAAAATACGACTCATGGGTGGCTCGAGCTCGTCAAATGACGAGCCTGAGCATAAGCTGAGCAAGTCGGCCAGTTTGGTGAGTCGAATGGGTGAGTAGCTTTTGGGCGCGAGCTAGACTCATGGCTCGCAATGAGCTTGAGCCACGAGCTCATGCTCGTGGTTCACATGAACAGTGACCGTTTCGATCACTGTTTAAAAGTGATTGAACTTTGAAAAGTAGGTAGAATGGCCACTTATTTTTTTTCCTCCATAAATAGTACCCCTACCATTTCCTTTTTTTCACACAACAATACAATATTTCAAGTTTCCAACAACTTTGTCACACACTCACTTCCACAATTCTACAATACACTATATTCATTTTGACAATTTTATCTTCAATTTCAATTATTCAATATCAATTCATTCAGCCCCTGTTTGTTTCCAATTTTTATAATCAATTTTTCTTATCATTCTAGGATAGCTAGTCGTGATTGTTGACTTCTTCTCTCACACTGTGTTCCCCGTGCGAGCAAAAATTGAATTTTTTTCTTCCAACAATTGGAAACAAACGTGGGTTCAATTATCACACTACAAATTTAAAATTACAAATGCAAAATTTTACACACATCAACTTTCTTTCCGTACTCTTTACTTAGTTAAGTTTTAGTACTTAATATACCGTCTATACATTTTATCACAATTCACAAATAGATCCACACTAATTGGTTAAGGGCTTGTTCATTATCGGAGGCGAATCACTTGTAACACCGCAAAGTCAATTTCGAAATGAATTTTCAATCTAAATGAAGTACTCATTCCTGAAGATACTCCAAATTTGGCTGCTCATGGAAGCAATAATCCAATCGATTTGGATGATATTGCTGTCCCTGAAGCAAAACAGGAGTAATAACCTGAATTAGACATTCCCGATGCAAGATGGCAACGAAAGGGAAAAAACAGGCAAAATGTTAGGATCACTTAAAATTAATTTCAACGGTTGTATGATCAAAGGAGTCGCAGAGTCTAAAGTGGTATGTAAATACTATTAACAATGATTTGCATGACAAAAAGGCATTGGTACCACCCACCTCAACTGTCACTACAAAGCATGTACTTCTTGAAGCCGGTCAAACACAACTGCAATTTAGTAGTTCAGGCACCGATTCTAGGACTTCGCCCCTTACCATATGGATGTATTCAGAGGAGAATGCTCGAACGGGAATGGTGAAACTTGTTGTCGGTGCTGAGTTGCTTCTAGCAATAGCAGACAACCAATATTTCGTCTCGTACGTAAAAGAACATCTTCAACCGAGCTACGTTAGGGTAAATTACTAAATCGAAACACTTTTCGTTCAAATACAATAGAATATTTCCTTCAAACAAAACAACAATTGATTATGGACTTGCAAAAATAAGAAGTGCTATACTTTTAATTTCAGATATATGTGAAGTGATTAATCAAAGAGTTTATATAGTTACAACTGCACACTACATAGACCCACTTTGATGTATCATAAAAAAATTATTGCTTTTAAACTTATTAAATTATTAAAGATGAAATGATCTCCCCTAATAGAAAACAAATACTTGAGGAATTTTGAGCCGAATTTGGAGTAACGAATATGAAAACAATGTTTAGTGGTGTGGGGAATAGATAGAACTCCATTTACTTATTATTTAAAGTCATGCAAATGTTTTGAACATTAAATGATTGAGTTTTATAATAATAGGCTTATTAGAAATGATGATAACACTATTTTGAATGAATTCGATTGACTTTTAACAAATTTTTATTGCTCTACAAATATTTTATCTGGATCTGGAGTTTACTATCCCACTAGTTGTATGGTGCTTGAATGTCTTTATAAATGCAAGAACATTTCATAAATACAAAAACGACCCCAATTTTAGTACAATTATATATTCTATAGAATTAAAATTTAGAAAATATTAGGAAGACTTACCTATATTGTTTCCTTTAGTATCCATCATAGACATCTGATATAATTTATCAGAGAATAAATATATAATTGATTAGATTTCAAGAGCTTTAACTTTTAATACACCTATCACACATAGAAATTTAAAACAAAATTTATGTGAAATATATAAATTATATACAGAACGAACGGGTACAAATATTAGTTAAATACCCTCAACACCTACTCTTTCCACTAATATTGAAGAAGATGACGCTGAAATACTAACTTTATTCGAAAGTATTGACACGTATAGATATGATGCAAATGCAATAGATCCATCTAGTAATAGTTTGTTTTTTGCATGTAATCAAATATTGGAGGCAATTTCAAATGTATTGTCTGCTGAATTAGTTGATTACTTTAATGATAATATGCATACCAACAAAACAATTAAAAAAAGTTCAGAATAAGTTATTGAATTTTTCTTAAAGTACGAACGAAGATGGGCAGTGGTTTCTGCAATTGCAAAAGACCTATGACACCATCTGTTAGTACGGTAGCTTTGAAGTCTGCTTTTTTAGTGTAGGTAAGAGGGTTTTGTCCGAGGTCAGAAGCCGACTGAAAGAATATATTTTGGAAGTATTAATGTGCATGAAAGATTGACAGAACACGCATTTTCGACTGCAAGATAAACATACCGAAATTGCATGTCGTCAGATAAGTGATATTTAATTTAACTATATTAATCAAAAAATTTTATATTATAATATCTTTTTTTAATTTTTTTTTTAAATTGTACACGATACAAGTTATTTATGTACAATTTTTAACTCAATCTACTCAAAATTTAAGTAGCCTATCCCAAACTCGAATAAATGATAAGTGTTTATATTTTATCTATTTTTTTATTTTTTGAAAACGAAAAATTACATGAGCTCTGAAGCCAAAGGCCCACGAGCTCGCCCCTCGAGTAAGGAGTCGAGCATAAGCTTTTTCCAATGTCATCTGGGCCTTTTATTGTGGGCAAGGGTAAGCCCACATTCGATCGGAGTAATTTTGAAAGGCCCTAGAATTGATCACCAAGTATAAACAGTTAACCCACTCTATAGACTTGTCCGATAGCATTATTCTCTTTACTTTGACTTTTGCTAGGAGCAGTGTTTTAATTGCACAACTCAAACATTCATACAAATACAATATTGAGTAATACTATTCATCTTTAATGGCAATGATCATCTGTAACAGTGGACTGTGTATAATAGAGTTGTCATACATCGAATAATAAATTGTGGAGCTCACTTCCAAATAGATTAGGAATAGTTATTGCAATGTATATGGAAGTCACACAATTTAGAAAGTAATATTTACGAGACAATTATAAAAACAAAGAAATGAAATTATAAAAAATTGAAAATTTAGTTTATAGTAATCAAAAAAGTAAATGTTAATTTGACTCTGAACCTAGAAATTTGCTCAAAACTCCACGAGCTTAGAATATAATTTGAAACAGATTGTTCATCAATAAGCTTGAATAAACTGTCCTTTACTTCAAAATTAGGTGCTTCATTTTTAAAATATACTTGAAAATCAATATTGCATGAGATTGTGAGCATGGAGGTAGATCACCACTAACAATGAGTTTGTTAATAATAAAAAAAAATTCAACATAAATAACTAGCCAATCTATTTATGTTCAAATAATGAATTATCTCTGAAAACCACGACCGGGATAAGCTTCGTCAATAACGTGATCCAAACAGCAAATTTCGACGTATATTGTGCATATAACTGAACATCAAAATGAATGGTCCGGTTATGGCTGCCAAACATTAGAAAGCAAGGGAGTAATACGCAGCCAGATGTCTCAATTTGCATCATTATAGTATCCCAACAAGAAGTAAAAGCCTAATTTGACAAGAAACTGAGGATCCATTTGGCACTAAAAACTGTTTTTGAATACATTTGAATAATTTTTAAAAGTGCTTTATCTAACTAGAGGAAGCTTACTTGAAGTCGAGAAATCTCTTCTACAAAAAGTACAAGCAAAAGTAGAAACTTTGTCAAACAAGTCCTAAAAACCATGGAGAGAAAGGTACTCAATTATGAACTACAACGTGCAATCATATGTTGAGCTTTAAAACCCGAAATTTTTCCTTCTTTTTTCAATCATACTACTCGTACAATCTGTGAGAATATGGTTCTCTTAACTCCATTAGATTTAAGTGCTATTTGTGTCATTCACATGGATTGTGTTTGTCTAGTTTTATTGTGGACCATTGGATGAGATCGATGGTTGGGATTTATTCTATGTGAGATATTTTTTGTTGCTTTAGTTTGTGTGAGAAGCTTTGACTATTTTCCACCAAATAGGGCTTTCTCACATTTTTTGGCAAAAACAAGTCTTTTTATCTTAAAATTCGGCCCTCTCTCTTCTCCTCAAAACTTCTCTCTCCATTTGCACCTTACTGTGAGTGTTCTTGAGAGTGCCTTATTGTGAGCTTCTTCTTGAGTGTCCATTGTAATAACTTAGGCCTGAAATAGTGGCTAAGTATATGTGATGTTTCTCAAAATTTGGTAGAAGAAAGGGGTGCGATGGTGGCGGTCTCAAAGAAGGTTCTTTGTCGGTTTTCTAGCTCTCTCTTTGGAAGGTGATTTGCATGACATGGGAGCTGTTCCTGAGCCTGAAAATCAGCCATAAACAAGAGAAGTTGCTGTCCAGATTTTCAGCCATTAATGGGTTGTATTTTCGGTTTATGTTTCCTGCATTTTTGCCTTGGAATCTTTGATTAAATGATGTTTATTGTTGATTGAACTCCGAGATCCCAACACAATCCTTATTTGACAACATCACATTCAACCATTTCAAAATTTGTTTTAAATGAATGGTCGATTTCAAAAATATATTAAATCTTCTTTCCTTCAAGGTGAAGACTTGTTTATTTTCACAAAACAAACTTATGTTCACTAGCATATTTGGTCCCAAATAACATTTTATTCAAGTAAAAACCTCCTTTCTAGGAAACTTACTTTCTAGGAAAGTCTATGAACTTCACACTACATGTCGGCAAATTTTGATCATGCGCTCTGGGTTCGAGCCATAACCACTACCAACAGGACCATGATCGAAAGGAAAATAGAATTTTTCAGCATTTCTTCCAAAGGATCGGTCAACCCATTCGAATTCTCCCTCTCTCGAGGCCCAAAAAACTTGTTCACAAGCTCGGTGATCTTGTCAATCAGTTGCATGATTTTTGCTTTAGTGTTCATGAAAATAAAATTCAGTACGTCCTTGGCTGGATTGGAATCATCAGAACCCTCAAGTGAAGTTTCTATCGGATTCTTATAAGCTGGTTCTGTCGATAAAATATAATGAATAACAGACAAACAAATGAATTATATCGAATTTGGAACAAAATACAATAGCATACCTTTGTCCTTCCCCTCCATTCCTCCGTGGAAACCAAAAAAGCAATAAGAACAATAATAATGCTACTTGTACATAATGAAGTTACATATAGATATATGCCAAAAAGAGAGTGTGGCCTTTTTTTCTTTCTTTCTTTCTTTCTTTGTTTTTTTTTTTTTTTTGGGTTGAAGAAATTCTGATCCAATCATATCTTATTACATCATTTGCATGTAAATCATTATGTATATGTAGCACAATAAAAACAATTAGCCAAACTATGGAACTCTAAATATATCTATAAAAGAAGAAATTCTCCATTTTTACGGACTCAAAATTAACAAACCTCGAAAGAGCGACCCTCTGAACTCCTGAACGACCTCATTGTTCAATACAGCATCCCAAACAGCCTTGTCAGATGATAACGAAATGACCATTTTCTGCATAAATTAAGGGATAAACTGATTTGACAAGAGAAATTCAAGCAAAGTTCACAGTATAAGAAAAACATAAATCCATTCATTTTAGGACAAGATAAAAGATGCTCCTTGTTTTGAACAAATCCCTACGGTATTTGGTTCATAGAAGCATGATTCATATAAACTCATTAGAAAGTGCAAAGTGAATAAAAAATTACACAAATGGTGCACTGCTGTTATCATTTTGTTCATTGAAAGACAAGAAAGCAATAATAATAATAAACAGCATGGATTTGCATCCACATTTTAATGTTCGAAAGACTTGTATATCAGTGTGTACTAGTCAAAATATGAGCTGCATAAGCTTGTAAAAACATATTCGAAGCAAATGTATAATTGCCAGGCATAAATCAATGTCTAATATTGCTTTGACGGGTTAACGTCAATTATGAAATTTCTTCTTGTTCCATGTAGAAAAAATTTTTACCTTAAGAAATTATGCAAATGTGAAATGTTTAAGATATGAAAAACGATATCATTTTGATGTAGGACCGAACTATTCTAATTTTGGTCCTTAACATATCATTAAACATCTTATCAGTATAATGTCCTGCTATGATTTTTACCAGATTCTAAATTTTTAACTACTATAATCTTCATATTTCTTGGAAAGAATGGTGACATTTTTCAATCATCCATTCATTTCAATGCTACAGAAAGTAAAACGGGTGAAGTACCTGAACAGAAGGTTCGGTTTGCAATAAATGGAAGGCATCATAAACTCGATCAGCTCCATGAGGCTGCAACCTTCTTGAATCGAAGAGATGCAATGAGGGCTCAACCCAATCCAACTGAGAGTCGGCTGAAGATAGTTTCTGCTTATATCCTATTGGACTGTTATTCTCATCCTTTTCTATACCTTGATCAAGTTTTTCCTTTCCAAAATTCGAAAAAGATGCCGGGCTAAAAACCCTGAAGTAAAAAATCATTTCAAACAATATACCCAATTTGGCCATCTTGAGTGCTGCACCAAATTTTGCACTATTTTGTACCAAATCTTACAACAAATTAAAATTCATCTCTAACCATTACACCAAAAGTTACATCAAATGAATAGTGTTTAACCATTTTCTTCCCTTTTTATATTCTTTATAATTTATTTATTTGACATATTATTTATTTAATTATTTTATAAATACATAAATTACTAAATAAATAATTACGTTAAATTACGAAAAAGATTAAATTCATTGATAAATATAAAAATCGTATGTATTACGTTAAATAATTTCTTTATGTATTATGAAATAATTACGTTAAATAGTTTTTTTTATGTATTGTTTTGTTTAAATAAAATTAGATTATCGTATGTATATCGTTGTTTAATATATTTCATATTAACTTTAATAAATAATCGTGTTTGTTATATTTTAAATTTTTTTCTTCTTTTAATTAATTTATTAATTATTATTTCTTACATTTAAAATTTATTTTACATGCAAATAATAATAATAATAATAATAATAATAATAATAATAATAATAATAATAATAATAATAATATTAATAATAATTTATTGTATTAAAAAATATATAGCACAAATGATACAAATGCCTTTAACAAATTTATTTGGGAAACGATAAAAAAGGGCAAAAAAACTTTATACACTTTGCACCAAAAAATGGTACAATTTGGTGCAATGGTGTTAGTATTGGAGTTACACTTGAGCCCTTGTTTGAGCTCCATTATTTGAAAAAATACGATTTTGGAATAGTTTTTTTTTTTAGATGGGTGGTTAAAAAGTAAGGAGGATTTTTGGATTTCCTAATATTATTTTATCTGTGGTTTATAAGAGGAGAGAGAAAAATGAATTAAAAATTAATGGGGGTGGGCTAGATTACTAGCCAAGAGCGCCTAATTAGTACAGAGTAACACTTGCCAAGGTAAAAAGCAAACAAATGAACTGTAGGTATGGTTCAAGATACGGAATAAACTATATGTACCGAATGGGGGGTTACCGAAGAGTGTCCCCCCCTCACAAACACGCGGGCCCCACGTGTATTTAGTAATGCTGAGCCCTGATCCCCACCTTGATGATGTGAGTTGGGTGTAAACGATTGTATAAATGATTATGTACGTGTAGCACGATCCTTCAAGATAAACAGACAAAACTATGTACAAATAGCTTTATTAATGCATAGTAAGGCCTTGTGTCAGTGTGTGAATCGTTCAGTTCATGTACAGAGAAACATCTAGACTAAAATATCAGGATTCAATGCAATTATAAATTCAATAACACACACAATTAAACTGTGAGCGAGTGCAAATCCTATAATGTTTCTATGCATACATCATTCATAATTGATAGGAAAAGTTCTTAATAATCTTCTACGGAAAATGAATGTATTATTCTATTACAATAAATTTCTTAATTGTAATTTTTCCCCCAGAAAGGAATTCAAGAACTCACTGTTTAAGAGCAGATACTGCATGTTGCACTTCATCTCTAGATGGAACAGTTCCAAAGACAAAATCATCAATAAAGACATGCCCTTTTTCATCTTCACTTGAATCTACACACTCCCACTCAGATTCATCGTTCCAGGTAGAAGAAGAACAAGAACCCCAAGCAGCAGTTTCAGCATTAGGTGTAGCAGATACCGGAAGATTAACAAGAGATGAAAAGGTAGAAGAAACATCACTATCATTCCCAGAAGAAAGAGTAAAACCAGACTGTTTTTTCTTGTAAGATTGTCTTGTATTTCTAGGAGTATTTGCACCTGTGCTAGTATTAGTATTAGTATTAGTATTAGTGGCGTGTGAAAATGGCTCCGATTGTGAACCGGCGACGCCAGCCCTGACAGCCCTTTGAACGGTTCTTAGGATACCGCCTCCTCCACCGCCACTGCCTCCGATGCCTCCACCCATGCCTCTACTGCCACCCCCGAATGAGCGGCGCATGTTCTATATTCTTATCTATTACTTGTGTGTACAAAGCCTGTGACGCTCTCATTTAGATTTTTTAGGCAAATAAATTTTGACGTATTCGAGGTGAAAATTTATGGATAGGAAGAACTTGGTACGTAGTACAACGCTATCTATTCATCCGTCGGGTTGTTAACTTTGCATATCGCCATATCCCAGAAGAAAAAGTGAAGAGTAAATTGCACTAGACTCACTGAATATTAGACATACTTGTAATTAGGTCTCTGAATTTTTATTTGGTGCAACTGAGTCATTATAAATTAATTTATGAGCAATCAGCTCATTTAGTTTGGGTTCTTATCAACGACACTGCTAACATGTCCATCAAAACAAAATATGTACCAATAGGGATGGCAAAAAAATATGTCATACCAATACTCGCGAACCCAATCCTGAATGGAGCAAGAATTACCCACTTAATTAGGTAATCCGGTCACGACAGAGTGGGTGATTCCACACCACGGTGAGTACGGGTAACAGGGCCCCACCCAGTCCAGGTTTTTTTTTTTTTTATTAAGAATTTAATACTTTAAATAGAAAACTCTACAAAATTTCATTAATTCTAATAGAATATGGTAACTAAGATTATCTAAAAAATATGATAAACAATAAAAACCTCAATTTACTAAATATGTTCGAATAATTTAACTTTTAAAAATAAATAAATAATTAAAAATTTAATAACTATATTATTGTCTCACTTTAATGAATGAGGACAATAAAATGAATTATCGAAAATTTAAAAATAAAATAAAATTAAAGGGGTATGTAAACGGGACAAATGCCCCATCCCCACTCCAATTCGCCTTAAACGGGTAGCTAGGCGGGCCATCCCTATGTGCCAACATTATTGTACTTTAATTTATGAACAATTAGCCCAATCCATTTGGTGAATAAAGGGAAATTCTTAGGGTTTTCTTCCATATCTCAAATTGAACTTTTCCTTCAAGTATTACTCCATGATGCATAATCGACCTAACAAAGTGATGTAGATTATCACAAATGGTCGATGCCTTGAAAACATAATTAGCAAATGAAGTGTAGAAATGAAGAAAAATGCTTCATGAACACCTCAACATATACACATGGGATCACAGTTATGTATATATAGCATTGTCCAAAAATGAATACATCTTTGCAGAAAAGGTGCATTATTGTGTTTTTATCTTATTTGTTCATTTTGTTATCTTTCAACTAAATCGATTTAATCATTGAATGAAGCATTCTCAAATCAACTTACATGGTAAGCTAGTTGACAGAGTCAACTAGTGTGGCATGTTGTTCGTAAATTGAAATATAATTGTTGATTATATAATAATTTTTCATATTTTTTAATCATATTTGAAAAAAAAAAATTCACTTGAATCTCTCCCAAACAAGCTCTTTATCTTCAATATCGCATTCACGGAAAATAGCAGACAAGTGAAACTCTACAAAAAAGAGTGTCATAAAGGTATTTGGCCAAATTTAGTGCTATTTGTGGAATTCCCCAAATTTTTAACCACAAAGATGAGACTAAGGCCCGGCCTAATTCTGTTACACCATATAAACCTAGTTACTAGAACCCTAATCAGTTCATCGGTCACATTTCCGTCCGTTCAGCCGTGGCTCAAGAACAATGGGTAAACCATTTCTCTTTTCCTCTCTCACTGTAAATCACTGATCAATACATATATTACGCGTATTCACTTTTTATGTAGATTATTTGATTGGTTGCAATAAATTCACAGGGGCTTATACTTATATATCGGAGCTATACAAGAAAAAGCAGTCGGATTTGATGAGGTTCTTGCTTAGGATCCGCTGCTGGGAGTATCGTCAGCTTCCCGCAGTTGTACGTCTCACCAGGCCTACCCGACCCGACAAGGCCCGCCGCCTTGGTTACAAGGCCAAGCAGGTGCATCTTTGATCTTTAATTTCTCTTTTCTTAGTATAATCGACGTTTCTTTATTTTTGTGTTTGAATGTAGAAGGCTAGATTTATTAATTTATTGTTTTATCTGGATTTTAAACAATTTTTTTTTTGTTAGGTTTTTATGCTTATTGTTTTGGCTTCTGGTTATACTTGAATAAAATTTGAGATTTGCTATATAATTTTCTTTGTTCTTTTGGGAGCCTGTACCATTTATAGCTGTCAAAGTGTCTCGATTTGAAAAGTACATAGGCTTGGGGGATTATGGTGTTGTGCATGGCTATAGTTCTGTGTGCTAATTTGACGTTGCTTCACATTTTTGTTCTTACAGACTTTAGTCTTTGTAGTCTAATTCATGGTGAAAATATGTATTCTATGGTGTAGAGGGTATAATATAATATACTGATAATTGCTTTTCTCATCTGTGTCTGTCAAATTAAATTATCTTACCTTTGGATGTACATTGTAATGTTCATGCTTCCCGTGTTTTATTAGTATTCAGTTTAATGACTGAATGTTACCTTCAGGGGTTCGTGATCTACCGTGTACGTGTGAGACGTGGTGGAAGGAAGAGGCCAGTTTCCAAGGGTATTGTGTACGGTAAGCCCACCAATCAGGGTGTTACTCAGCTAAAATTCCAACGCAGCAAGCGCTCAGTTGCAGAGGAGCGTGCTGGAAGGAAATTGGGTGGACTTAAGGTTCTGAATTCGTACTGGATCAATGAGGTTTGTATCAAACTTTTTTAAGTTTATTCTTTATTGTTCTATTGTTATTGATGTTTTGTTTTGGACTGACTATAATATATGCTTTAACCATTCAAGTGGCAAGTGGTAAGTAGGCTTTTCAATTAAGGCTGGATGACCTTGAATCTTCGACTATGCAGCTTGATTAGTTGTTCTTCTCAAATCACTACTATCTTTATAGAGTATATAGTTTTCACATTGTTTCACTTACCCACAAACCCACATCGATTTAATGATAATTAAACCAAAGAATATAATCAAAGTATTATGCAAGGCAGTGCTCTAGCTTGTCAAGTAAAGAGTGTCGAAGTTCTTAGTGGCTTGTTTATCTTTTCAAGTAGTATTAGTCTTCATATTCTTGGAAGCCATTTGGTAATTGTTGATCCAATGCAGGATTCTACGTACAAGTACTTTGAGGTTATATTGGTTGATCCAGCTCATAATGCAATCCGAAATGACCCAAGGATCAACTGGATCTGCAATCCAGTCCACAAACACAGGGAGCTTCGTGGACTGACCTCAGCTGGAAAGAAATATAGGGGTCTCCGTGGAAAGGGCCACTTGAACCACAAAGCACGTCCATCAAGAAGGGCTACCTGGAAGAGGAACCAGACACTTTCCCTTCGTCGTTATCGTTGATCCTCTTGACAAGTTTGGTTCCTGTAATTCCCTGTATTCTGTTTACGGTTTGAGATTTTTCTTGTGGGAAGTTGTTACAGTATATTATGTTGAAAGTGTCGAATTTATACGAGTCAATGACATCTGAATTTCGTGCTTATAACTTGGTATTAGTACTATTTCCTCGTGATATTCACATTTATGTTGGAAATGGTGCGTGTCCCTTTCATATGTTATGCAATTTTGTTACCCCCAGTTTGAGATATGAAATCATTCGAATTTTATTAGAATCTACAACTTAAAAAAAAACATTTCTTGATGTTAAATGGAATTTCTTTGGTATCTTTTTTCATGAAGTTTGTATGTTTTGAGTGACTACTTTGGGAACATATTTAAATTATCATTCATAACAAATATTTGATGGAATTTATCTTATGCATGTCGTTTGGACAAGAAGTTTTAGAAATTTAAAACAATGTAAAGGAACACAGCATTTTTAACAGGCAGAAAGTTTCAGTGGTAAGCGGTAATTAACCATCTTATGGTCTTCCTTAGATATAGACTGTTCATTAAATATCTCTAGACTGCAATGCTAAGTGCATTTTTTAGGATTGTTTAAGTACTTATTAAGTAGCGGATTCTATAAAATGTGTAGAAATGTAGTACGATGTTGGGTTTTATTAAATGTGTATATAGAAAAGGTTTAAGTGGTTTAAATTATAATTTAAGCTTTGCTGAACATGCTACAAGGAAGTGAGAGATCAATCAAATTTGTCACTAGCTATTGTTGTCCAATTAGGGGATGCTTTGTCCATTTTGTTCATAATGTTCAACATGGTTAATGAAAAGAGAGATGTAATAAAATTTGTCAAGCACTGACCATTTGGCCTTGATCTTAACAGTAGGTACCCATACAAATCCTATTTCTAATTGCAAAATATTATCTTGGAGAGTGTAGTTTGATGAGTTGAATGCTAGTTTAGCAGGTCAAGAGAACTCCCAAAATTTCCATTAATTAATAAGAATATAAAAAGAAAATTACTTCTCCTATACCAATCCCCACAATTCGAAGCTGAAAAAAAAAAACAGAAAGAAAAAAAAAAGAAAAAAGAAAAAGACAAAGCAACTCGTACGTATTAACATTCAACTGTTGGTTTTTCTGCCTCATATATATCTCTACCATCAACCACCCCATCACCACGGCCACCTCCACTCCCGGGCAATTTCCGCTTCGGCTTGGCCTCTTGCAACATCGACACGACGTCCCTCATCGATGGTCGGTCTGCCGGATTCCGACTTGTGCATAGCAACGCAACCCTAAGAAGTAACATCATTTCTTCCCTCACCAAGGAACATGTCGCACCAGCATTTTTATCTAGCACATCATTTATACCGTTCTTGATCTTAATCTTGGACCTCACCCAATCTACTATGCTATTTCCATCACCAAATTCCGTCTCTACCAATCTTTTTCCGGTCAAAATTTCCATCAATATCACCCCATAGCTGTAAATATCACTCTTCTCATCAACTTGTAAGGTATAAGCATATTCTACAAAGCAGAAAACAAAATTCTTTATTATTTCTTAAGCCAAAGAAATAAGGAAAAACAATGCACAAGCCATAAAATGTTTGACTTCTGACGACAAAGTTCAAATTTTGAAAACTCTTAATTGACAAAATCTTAGTGGGTCCACATATAAGAAAAGTGAGAATTGTAGGAAAAGAGCACTGCACGCCGAATAGTGGGCAATGCACTGAAACAGTAGTAAATCAGGGCGACAAAGAGGAAAGAAGAATAAAATAGGCTGTGCTCCACCACGCTTCTTGTTACTCTAGCATGCACATAAAGCGTAACTGGTGGTGGTGGGGGTGGGGTGCCCTTGCACCACCCATGTACCAAGGCTATAATCCCAACTTAAAATGAAAATTCATCTACTAAATAAAGTTGATGTGGCATATCAATTTAGATCAAATGTGGGATCCTTTTTTTCCTGTCACTTGAGAGGTTAAATAGTTAAAAATAGATACAAATATTCATTCAAATTTAATTTTCAAGAATCTCAACACTCCAAGATGGCAAAATTTCCCATTTCAATATACAACAGTTTCTTTTTGTTAAGATCACTTTGTTGGTGCCTGAAGAAACATAAATCATACCTGGCGCTATGTAGCCGTAGGATCCAGCAATTACTGACATTGATTCGTTGCTTTGAATTAGTTTAGCCACCCCAAAATCAGCCACACGAGCCTCCATCTCACCGTCTAAAAGAATGTTACTAGGTTTGAGATCGCGGTGCACAATGACTGGATCACAATCATGATGGAGATAACATATTCCTTGAGCGACCCCTAGTGCAATCTTGTACCTAGTGAGCCAATCGATCACCAAATTATCGCCCTTGTTTTTGCAATGCAACAGGTCATCCAAATTTCCGTTAGGCATGTACTCATAGAGCAACATGGTACATTGACTGTTGTTACAACATCCTAACAATCGAACAATGTTTCGATGTCTCACATTGCCTAAAACTTCCACCTCGGCCAGCACTCCCCTCCTCTTCCTAATCGTCTCCTTGTTCTTCCCCCCTAGCTTCTTGACGGCTATGGTCTCACCACCAGGCATATCAGCCTTGTACACGATCCCCGTGGACCCCATCCCGAGGATTTTATCAGTCATGTTTAGACACTCTAATACATGATCGGCTGTGAAATTCAATCTTTGAAATGCTGTCAATTTCCATGGCCCGATGTCTCTATCATCACACAATTTGTGGCCATATTTTGCTTGGAAACACCTGCTACCAACAACTAGTATGAACAGTCCAATGCCAAATGCTGCTGCCATGATCCAAACAATTGCACCGGCAGTCTTCTTTGGCTGCTGCTGGACTTCCATTGTGCCGTCAGCTAGTTCCTCTTTCCGGCAAGGCTTCTTAAGAATGCCTCCACATAGACCTTCATTACCAGAAAACAACGATGGATGGAGACTCGAAAATGCTGATCCCGAGGAGGGGATAGGTCCAGTGAGCTGATTGTATGACACGTTGAAATTCTCCAAGGTGCTACAATTATTGAAATTTGAGGGAATTGTGCCTGTGAGAAAATTATGTGACAAGTCAACATCAGTGATGGAAGGAAGTGTAGATATCTCCCAGGGAATAATTCCTGTAAGTGAATTTCGATGTAAATTGAAGAAAATGAGTTTTTCACAGTGGCCAATATCCCATGGAATGCTACCACTAAGATCATTTCCATCTAAATAAATCTTGTAAAAACTTCGACAGCCAATGAAGTCTGGAATAGTGCCGTTGAGTTTGGCTGAACTAGCTAAGAAAATCTTTAGACTCGGGGCACTCCAGATGGTATCAGGCAATGGAGAATTGAATGAATTATCCGATATGTCCAAGAACCCCAAATTTGCAGCATTGCCAAGATCCTTTGGAATTGGCCCTGAGAAGTTGTTGCGGCTTAAATCTACATATGTGAGATTAGGCAGGTAGCCGAATCCAAAAGGTATCGACCCATTAAGCTTGTTGTTCTGAATTCTGAAACGCAATAAGGCTGTGCAATTTGCCAGGGATGAAGGTATTTCACCAATGAACTGATTTGCGAAGAGAACAAGTTTTATCAGGTTTTGACCGAGGCAAAGATTTGGAGGGATTGGTCCAGACAGTGAATTTGTAGAGACATCAAGCCTTTGTAACTTTGCATTTGAACCTAATTTTTGTGGCAGAATTCCTGAAAATGAATTGTTCCAGAGAAATAAGTTTATCAGGTTGGGAAGTTCACCTATACCTTGAGGAATTTCACCTGTCAAATTGTTGCGCATCAACGACAGATTGTATAGCTGTTTTAAACCCGAAAATTCACTTGGTATTTCGCCTGACAGGTTATTATCTGACAAATCAAGAACCTGGAGTGATTTCAATTGAGCTAAACTCACCGGAATAGAACCTGAAAAGTGATTCTTGAAAAGCAGCAATGTTTCCAGTTTACTTAATTTGCCCAACTCATCTGGAATCTTGCCTGATAAATTGGCTGCTGAAACATCAAGATAGAGTAAATTTGATAAACCTGAAATTTTCCCTGGAATTCCACCGGAGTACACATTGTATCCCAATTCTACATGCTCAAGCTGACTCAAGAAGCCTAATTCAGCAGGAATTGGACCTGTCAAGGCATTTCCTTGCAAGTACAGAGATTTCAATTTCCAAAAGCTGCCAAAACTTGCAGGGATTGTACCATTAAAATAGCTCCCTCCGAGGTTGAGGTACTCGAGATTCTTAAGAAAAACGAGTTCTTCAGGCAAAGATCCTGTGAAATTGTTGCTATATGCATTAAAGAAAATGAGAGACTTGAGTCCTGAAATTCCAGGTGGGAAAGTTGAATTGAACAAATTGTGACTGATGTCTAGTGTTTTGAGGTTTGGCAATTCAAAAATGGCAAGCTGAAGAGGACCATCCAGGGAATTTTTACTTAAATTCAAGTGATGCAAATGAGACAAGTATTTAATATCATTTGGTATGGTGCCTGAAAGGCTCCTCCCTGAGAGGTCCAAATATGTGATTTGGTTGGTTCTACGGTCACATTTGATGCCTGACCAGGTGCACCATATGGGCTGGTATCCAGGCCTGGAGAAGGCAGTTGAAGGGTCCCAATCTTGGAATGTGTTGAGAGGGTCTCTGAGGGATGATTTTATTGAAAGAAGGGATATAAGTTGGAGAGGTGGCGAGACGGTGGCTGCGGCAGCGGCGGTGGAAAGGACTAATGAAAATTTAACTAGAATCAAGGAAATGGAAAATGAAAAACAAGAGAAAAAATTCATGGTTTTGGAATTGCGGAGGTAGTAATGGTTGAGAAATGTTTTTGTGTTAAGTAAATTTAAGGAAGTGAAGGTTTTGATGATGGTTGGCTTTGCTTTTTTGGAGTGCTGTGTTCAGATAGTATTTCATGATGATTGTAGAGAGAGAAAGAGACAGGAGTGATACATACACTTACATATAGAGAGAGAGAGAAACATCAAACAAGAAACAGCCATTTCTTTCATCATCTTCTTCTAAATACATCTATTTCTGACTTACAGACAGAAACAGAGACACACACAATACAACACAGAAGAAACTGTTTCTCTCTCTCTCTCTCTTCTATATATATTTTTCTTAAATTTCTTTAAGTCTTTTCTTTTTATTCTTTCCACTTTTCATCATTCCTTGTTTCCTTTATCTTTGGCCCCGGTTCCAGCATTTTGATATATATGGGGTAATATACGGCACTGTTTTTTGCAGGA